CATGGGTGATTTATTCATTTTCTTACCTTTTTGAATTTGATTGTTTCACAAGTCATAAAATATTTTATCACAAACCCGTATATATGCGGGTCTTTTACCTTGTACTATTAATAATCTTATAAGAATATGATAAAACTTGTATCCAAACATACCGTGTTCTCTCCCCTTTCTCGTTTCTCGTCTCCTCCCAGAAGAGGGTCAGATGATGGAAGAATGGAGATAAGCGTATTGACGTTTTCTTCCAGCTTAGAACAGTTTTGTCTTATCAAATAAAAAGTCCCCGAATTGTTCTCTAAGAAGAGAGAGACTTCCACCCCGCGGAGGATTTGAATCATGCGGTGCATCTAAGAGAAAAACAAGCCAAACAAATATTAAGTAAACAACAGATCAAACACAAAAAGTAATGTTCCTTAAGTATTATCTTACTTGAGTTATTAGTTCAAAGAGATGAAAGTGACGGGAAGGTAATAATGACCTACAATAGTAGATGACCATTTTCTGGCCATTGTCTTCAAATCCCAGCTCGAAATCCCTTAAAATAATTGATTTCTATATGAAAAGACGAAATTAGTAGAGATAAAAAGAGAAAAATACTAATATAAAAAAGGTATAAAAGACAACATCAGTAGAGATGATATATGAAATAACTAGTAAAAACATGGTACACCTACATTATCCAAGTTTTGCAAGCGAAACTCGGTGTTTCTCGCAAGCACCAACATCTTAGCATCAAGAGCATCCTGGTTGAGTTGCATCCACTCTAAGCTTTTTGAGCATAAGGTTGGTATGTGAGTAGGAAGATTACACTAGATTGAGCAAATTAATAATTGATTGGTTAGTTTAAGAATATATAAAAAAACTAAAATTGTGAGACAAATACTATTCTTACCAAAGCACAAGTGGTCTTGTTGGTCAGACGAGAAGAAAGTATGAGAAGAACTCACTGCACTCACTCGGGATCAACACCAACAACAATGAAAGACCCACCGATCATAAACTCAGCACCGATAAGACGGCCAGTGTCAACAATGAGTTACTTCGCTCTCTTGTATTGGTTTTTATTACATTCTTCGGCCATGTATATGAATTATGTAGTGAAATTACTGGGTATAAGTTTTGTGCAATAATGAAAACAACTGACTTTGAATCTGCCGTTGCGAGACAGTAGATGTTGGAGTTGTAGTTGTCGAAGGTGTAAAATTGGAAAATCTCCCAAAGATTCAAGATGACGGAGAAATCAAAAGAAAAGTAGAAAATGTGTGGGATCCATGCGATCAATAAAACTTTATGTAGTTTGGGAAGAAGTTTATTTTTCTCTCTGTTTTAGTTTTTTCCATATATTTAAAACTAATAGTCCATTAACCTATTTAATCTAGTGTTATTGCCCTTGCCATATTCCAGCTTTATGCTCGAAAAGCAGAACGCTGATAGAAAATCGGACTTGCGGTCGTCATAACTCAATAAAATATTAGGTACTTAATTTTGTTTTACCTAATGATAGATAATGAATTATGTATAGGATATAATTTCTCTAATTAATTATAGAAATAGAATGGTTTTTTTCTTAGTTGTTAGGTCCAATATAATTATCTAGCTAATTGACCCTTATATCTACTGGCTTAACTAGCCTGATCAGAATCCAAATAATTTCCAAATTCCTCACTTCATCTGATCAGAATCCAAATAATTTCCAAATTCCTCACTTTATTTCATTGGACAAAACGAATACTTTCGAAACAAAGGTCGATAAGTAACAAAATTGGCTTCATTTTGGTAAACCGTGAAAATCAGGCAGGCTGTTTGGTTATATCAATAACCTGACCCCACCCACATAAATTAATTTTAAAGAATAAGACTAGACTTGTATCCAAACATACCACGTTGTCACCTTTCTCGTTTCCCAGTCTCCCCCAGATCCGGGTGCACTCACCCTCACCGAAAGATCCACCTTATTCCCAACCTCTCCTCTGATTCCGCCATGGAACCTGACGTCAGCATCGATACCTTATCGATCATCCGGATCGCCGTACTCCCGATCGGCACTATCCCTCCGGCGCTTCTCCGGGACTACCACTCGATGCTGCTCCGTCACCACACGATCGCGCTATCCGCTATTAGCTCTTTCTATACTGAGCATCAGAAATCTCCGTTCACGAATCAGCCGTGGGATTCCGGTTCTCTCCGGTTCAAGTTTGTGCTTGGTGGTTCTCCGCCGAGTCCGTGGGAGGATTTCCAGTCTAACCGGAAGATGCTCGCCGTGATTGGACTTTGTCATTGTCCTTCTTCTCCTGATCTCGTTTCCGTCACTGAGAATTTTAATGTCGCGTGTAAAAGCTACTCATCGGCTCTTGTCCGGCGATGCTTCGCGTTCTGCCCTGGCGATTCGCAAGTGAGTTTATCAGTTTCCACTTCGTTTTTGGAATTTAGATTCAGTTTTCATTTCCTTTCTGATTGATCTCCGTTGTGAAGTTGATGCACTATAGTTGATAGTGATGTTTATTGTATAGTACATGCTTTTGTATGTTTTGGACTGACGATTCCTTTGATCAATGTACTGTCTTTTGCAGCTTGAAGATGGAGATAAGAAGGGTGAAAATTTGATTCTGTTTCCTCCATCTGACAAGCAAACTCAGGAATTTCATTTACAAACAATGATGCAAGACATTGCAGCTTCGCTGTTGATGGAATTCGAGAAGTGGGTTCTTAAAGCAGAATCTGCAGGCACGATTTTGAAGACGCCTTTGGATTCCCAAGCTAGTCTCAACTCAGAGKAGGTTTATGTCTAGGTGTCCTATAATTTAGTCTACGTTTCATTTCTTCCTGTGGAAGCTTATAACTTAGTAACGTAGTCTTCCAGGCTCATTAGTTTGGTGTAATGCAGGTAATCAAGGCCAAAAAGCGTAGGCTGGGACGAGCACAAAAAACTATAGGAGACTATTCCTTGTTGGCTGGTTCACCTGTTGATGCCAATGCTCACTATTCTACTGCTCTAGAACTGGCCAGATTGACGGGAGATTACTTCTGGTATGCGGGTGCCTTGGAAGGCAGTGTTTGTGCCTTACTGGTAAGGCTTTATGCAAAATAAGACTATAACCGCATTGTTCTTACATTTTTCATAGCATTATACCTTAAAAAAACTGGATATTGAATGTGCTGTTTATCTGAAATGCTCTGAATATGAAATTGCTCTCATCTGTCTTTCTTTTTTAGTATACAATCATCTTAGTTTTTCTACTTTCTTATTAACAGGTAGATCGCATGGGTCAACGGGATGTGGCTTTAGAAGATGAAGTTAGATATCGATACACTAATGTTATCTTACACTACAGAAAGTCATTTATTCAAGAAATTGCTCAGAGGTAATTCAACGCATTGCCTGTTAGGCACTTCTTCTGTAAAACTTATTACTGCTAATAACAATCAATTATTTTCATTGCAGAGTTTCTCCACTAAGCTTTGAACTCGAAGCTACCCTCAAACTGGCCAGATTTCTTTGCAGGTATCGTTGTATGCTCTCTATTTCCTTAAATTGTGATGGCATAGTTTCCTTTTTGACCTGGTGGAGGATGACTGTATGAGTTTAGAGGGGGTTGATGATCTCTTATATATTTTTCAATGATGATTAAATCAGCTGGGAAAAGAAAGGTTATTATGTTTCGAAAAAGCTAAAATACATGGGTTGTCCGTTTAGTATTAAATGATGATCTCTGGTTGTGGGCATCTTTCATGTCTTTCTTTACTCTCTGGTTGAATCCTCATTTTTGCTTGGTTTTATTCGATCTTAATCATCCTTAATTTTTCTGGGCTGTACAGGAGAGAACTGGCTAAGGAAGTAGTAGAGCTATTAACCAATGCTGCCGATGGTGCAAAGTCTTTGATTGATGCAAGTGATAGGCTCATATTATATGTTGAAGTAGCACGTTTATTTGGAGCACTTGGTTATCAACGGAAAGCAGCCTTCTTCTGTAGGCAGGTCGCCCAATTGTATTTGCAGCAAGACAATCGATTAGCTGCTATTAGTGCCATGCAAGTTCTCTCTATGACAACTGATGCATATAGAATCCAAAGTAGAGCATCTGTGTCGAAAGTTTCTGTTAACAATGTGAGTTGACAGCCTAAAAATTATTTTTCTTCTCTTGTTGTTGATTGAGCCTTCTTCATATACATGGTTTGCCATATGATATTTTTTTGGGTATTGGTGTTTATTTGCGGATTATGTTTACTTAATCTTTATATTTTCTCTTGTGTTTGTTAATTAAGGAAACTGGATTGCGTCAACCTGACGCTGGGAAAATGCATCATCATTCCATTGTTTCCCTGTTCGAATCTCAGTGGAGCACTTTGCAGATGGTTGTGCTGAGGGAGATACTCCTCTCTGCTGTTCGCGCTGGAGATCCCCTTGCTGCATGGAGCGCTGCAGCGAGGCTTCTGAGGTGGCATTATCCTCTAATTACACCTTCAGGTCAAAATGGACTTGCTAATTCCCTTGCAAATTCAGCGGATAGATTGCCTTCGGGAACTCGCTGTGCTGACCCTGCCTTGCCGTTTGTAAGGTATGTTTATCAGCAGTCAACCTTTTTGCTTTCAGGGATGTTTTCCCTTGTTCACTCTCACCATCATGAAACAACCTAACTTGATCATGTAAAATTCCTCACACTCCAAGTAGAGCAACAAGATCAGACTAACAACCACTTTTCATCCACCTCTTGGCTTAATATATACCCAATGTTTGTTTGTATTTCAAAATCTTGTTCCATGTTTGCTTGGTAGCTTACTCTGGCAAAACTATGTATGTTTCGGCAAATTTTATTCTAGGGTTCGATTAAACTTTTTTCTTTCATTGAAATTTCAGGCTATTTTCCTTCCCGCTCCATTCATCCCAAGTAGACATTGTAAAACGCAATCTAGCAAGAGAAGATTGGTGGACAGGATCTGCTCCTTCTGGGCCATTTATTTATACTCCTTTCAGCAAAGGAGATGCCAACGAAAACAGCAAGCAGGAATTGATTTGGGTGGTCGGTGAACCAGTTCAGGTCTTAGTGGAGTTAGCAAATCCTTGTTGCTTCGATTTAAGGGTTGATAGTATTTATCTCTCAGCGCACTCAAGAAACTTCGATGCGTTTCCTGTCAGTGTGGACATTCCCCCTAACTCTGCAAAGGTGATCACGTTATCTGGTATTCCAACAGCAGTAGGACCAGTGACAATCCCAGGCTGCACAGTTCACTGCTTTGGTGTAATCACCGAACATGTTTTCAGGGATGTTGACAATCTGCTTCTTGGAGCAGCACAAGGACTCGTATTTTCTGACCCTTTCAGATCCTGTGGATCTGCAAAGCTACGACATGTATTTGTTCCTAACATTTCAGTTGCACCACCATTGCCCCTCCTTGTGGCTAATGTTGTCGGTGGTGATGGTGCAATTATCCTGTATGAAGGTGAAATTCGTGAGGTGTGTATAAATTTTGCAAATGCTGGCACAGTTCCGATAGAACAGGCACACGTCTCGCTTTCTGGAAAGAATCAGGATGCTGTTATCTCGATAGCCGATGAAGCTTTACAGTCTGCTCTTCCCTTGAAACCCGGGGCACAAGTGACTCTGCCGGTGACTTTAAAAGCTTGGCATGTGGGACCAATTGATTCTGATAATGCTGTTAGCAGTGGCAGGAACACTGTGGGTAACACAGGAAGACCAAAAGACGGAATCAGCCCTTCATTGCTTATTCACTATGCAGGTATTCATTTCTTCATTGACGTGTGTTTGTGATGTATCTTACTTTTGCAGTGCTTAATGTAGCCTCACGATGACAAATTTCTTAAAGCATTCTTGTATTAATATTTTTTTGCAGGACCGTTGTCTAACAATGTGGATCCCCAGGAAAAAGAAGCTGTTGTGCCACCGGGCAGACGTCTTGTTGTTCCCTTACAAATTTGTGTTTTGCAAGGTTTGTCTTTTGTGAAAGCTCGTTTGCTTTCCATGGAAATCCCTGCACATGTGAGTGACAACCTTCGGGATGAAGCCACTGAAACAGAGAGCAATACAGACAGACTTGTCAAGATCAATCCCTTTAGGGGAAGCTGGGGATTACGGTTTCTTGAACTCGAGTTATCTAACCCGACAGACGTTGTTTTTGAAATCAGCGTCTTTGTTCAGCTGGAAAAATCTGCCAAGGAAGATGATTCTTCGCCAGTCCAAGATTCTCCAGAGTATGAGTACCCAAAAACAAGAATCGACCGAGACTATTCTGCTAGGGTACTGATTCCATTGGAGCATTTCAAGCTA